CCATGTAAAAAGTCATTTACAACGTAGCAAGTCAATTTCATTCTTCTAAAATGGATAATATAGTCTGAAATCCAAATTAAAATCGTCAAAATTACCTAAACCGTTGAAGTCATAAAGCAGTCGGCCGTTGCCTGAAATCAAAATATGAAAGTATTCGAACTAAATATTTCATGTTTGGCATAAGGTTTGACCGAAATCCAATCAATCGAAATAAAACGAGATATTTTCAATTTTTTTTTCTTACAAATATCGCCGCATGTCGTGGCATGGAAAGCAGTGATAAGATTTGTGCAAGCGTCCACATGATAGAGATGATCGTGATCATAGGCTAGTCCCGTGGTTGAAATCATACCACCAAAGAGACGTGTGACACCTTTTTCAGGCGTGTACATGTAAAGTGATGCATTTTTCGGTGAGTTACAGAACGTAACATGATTGGATCCACCATAAAAGTGGCCGCGTTTGCTTTGCTTTGCCAAACACCAACGACTGTTCTGATCAAATTGTTCAACACTAAATAGTGTACTGACTTTTGCAGCTGGTGACTTTCCATCCCATTCAACAATGATTACATCATGATCCACGCCGATGGCAAACAGATGTTTGTATTTGTTACAGTCTTTAATCGGCAAAATAAAAGACGGTGACGTGATCACACCAACTATGTAAGCTCCATAGCCACGATCTTCATTGAAACCGTATCGAAAAATTGATAAATTCTGACCAGTCGAGATGTAGTCAACGTAGTACAGACTTTGTGTGCAATCATCCCAAATGGTTGCAAATCCGATGCCGGCAAACGGTGCGGGGATTGAAGTAATTTCGATATCAGACTAGAAAATTAGACTCATTTTAATCAGATTGATCACTTTTAAGGAAAAATAAAGAATAAATCGCCAAAAAGCATAACGAAGTGTTCAGGAGGAAATGAAATATTTTGAAAAACTTTGATTTTTAGTAGAAAAATGGCCTAAGCTTTGGAATTATACTCACTGCATATATGCACTGAAGAAACACACTAAGAATTGCTATACTTTTCCACATTTTTAATGAACTAAAGTTATTTTTTCTATTAAACTCAGTATTATTATTCGGAAGCTATTCTATTAGTTGAATTCGTTTAAATGACGAGATTTAAACATCAAATGCTTTTAAATAGCCTATAATTGAACCAATTATTGTATTCTTATGTGTTTTATTTTTTATATTTTGGTCAAGCACATGTTTAGCACAAATGTTTGATTAATTTTTTTGCGGCCAGTTCAATGCAAATAGTATTTATCATTTCAACGACGCTTGTTTGTTCCCGTATTGCATAAAAAAAAATCAATATGTGTGTCATTATTTACTCTCAATTATGGCGTGAGAATCGAAGACACTAATGTGAATATTCACAAAGTCAAACGACTCAATTTTTGGCTAAATTTTAAATTTTATTATATTGACTGAATCAATCATATTTTATTATTATTAAATAAAAAAGTAAGTATATCCAAGATTATATCGCTCAATTAGGACTTTCTGTAGAAAATCTTACAAAGAGTCGTCATATTTTAAAGGGAACAAAACAATTCTTTTTCATTTTTCGCTAATTCACGATAAGACCTCATCGTGTACTGCGTTTCTATGTGGTTTGAACTGTAACAATGGCGTTTCCTTTTCTTTTCTTTTTTCTCGAAAGATGTAGATTTTAAAGACAAACAGAACAGAAACATAGAGCAAAAAATGTTCATGGCAATCGCTTGAAAATAAATTTCATTCAATAATTCTTGATTGAAGTAAAAAAATATAATTATTCACTTTTTATTACCTTTTTGGATTTATTTAAAATAAAGGGAACTTGAGTGGGAAACTAAAAAAATTTCAAATTTCATTGAAATTTAGTTCATTCTTAAAATCTGAACCGAATTTCCATGGGCTTACAACATGCTCTAAATTTTCAAACGTGATGATTTACGACCTTTTGCGCCGAGATCAGTAATTTTGTAGAGAGAAGTAGGGACTGCTGTACGATCTGTAATTTGTGCTAATAGAACATTAACACGTGCCTGTACCGTTACAACAAATAGGATATCTCTCTTGGGTCCACCAAATGTCGCTCCGCCGATACCTTTATAAGGCATTCGTACAATTGGAATAGCAGAAAATGTTCTAAGAGAGAATGATAAATCTTTAATTCCTTTTCACATTTAAGTAAAAATAAAACTTTTTGTTCAACTGTCGCAATGACAATTTGTTATCGAAACTGTTACACTATTTTTATTTCATGCCACTTTTTTTACCCTCTCTGAGTTCCATCACATGGAATGATACATGTGACGGCATATTTTTACACGGAACTTCGTTCCCAGTGCGCCGAGCACTTGCTATATATAGAGCGAACGTATCCGAATATTAGAAACCACACGTTATTACATGTAGCTAGTGCTCGGCGCACTGGGAACGAA